ATCATGTATAAAGCTGATGATAAATAATTAGCATTCTTTGAAATTAAGCATGATCATTAAAGATGTTAGAAATCAGAATAAAATGAATGCAGTTATGTGATAGAAGAATAATGCAATTATTCTAAGTAAAACATGAGAAAATGGAAACTTTTATGATAAAAAACTATTCTAAAAGAGATGAAGAGGAACTAAGTTTCTTAAAAAAAGAATAAGAATGGGTGAAGAAACAAGTAGGAGAATGAAGAATAAGAAACTAAAAAGAAAAAAGTTAAAAGATGGCGAAGGAGCGTGAGAGAGAGGAGAACAGGAAGGGAAAAAGAGAGATAGAGAGTAAGATAAGAGAGAGAGAGTAAAAGAGAACTAAGAGAGTGAGAGACGGAGGAAAGAAAGAGAGAGTAGAGAGCTGGGCCCGCAGGGTAGCCTAGGCTGCAGGCCTAAGAGGGTTGGAGAGAGCGAAGTGAGGAGAATGGGAGAGGTAGTGAGAGAGAAAGAGTAAGAGAAGAGAGAGATCGAGAGAAATAAGAGAAGAGAGAGATCGAGAGAAAGAGTAAGAGAAAAGAGAAACGAAGAGAGAGAGAGATTAGAAAAGAGAGAGAGAGAAAGAGAGAGGGAGAGAGATGGAGACATGAGAGAAAGGGAGAATAAGAGAAGAGAAAATGAGAGCTGGGTCCACAGTCTAGACTGCAGGTCTGAGAGGGAGAAAAGATAGAGAGATTAATAAAAGAGAGAGAAAGTTTTCACGAGAGGGAGAGAGAGAGTCTGACAAGAGAGAGTTTCATGGGGAGGGGAGAGAGAGAAAAGGCAAGGAACAGAGAGAGTTTCACGGGAGAGAGAGATTGGGTGAGGGAGAGATAGAGAGCTTCATGGGAGAAAGAGAGAGAGAAAGATTTCCGCTTTTATGGAAAATGACCAAAATACACCCCACAATGTAGAAAATAACAAATTGGTCCCCTTTGAAGAAGACCTAAACTCATTCGTGGGCAATTCGAGGACTTTTCGGTGGCCGTTCGGATGTTCCATTGTCGTAGAAATGACATTTGAATTATTGCGGTCATTTGGATATCCATTTCGACACTCAAATCAAATTTTTTGAAGGCAATAAAACTTCCAGTCATCTTTAAGAATATGGAAACTTTCAATTCTTCGTGTAGGCCAGTCTATCGTGTTTTCAACAAATTTCTTGATCACAACTTGGATAGGATCCCATCATGGTCATTTTGTGAAAAAAATCATTAAATTTGATGGTGTTTGTTATTCCCAATTTGGAAGGTCGCCAGAAAATGGGATTCTGGCGACCGAAGAAGTTGTCATTTTCATCTTGAAATTGTACGCAATCCGACCCTTCATTTTGTTCGAATTTTACCTCATAACGTTTATCTTCATCCCACCATCGCTATGTGCCAATTTTTATGATGATCCGATGCCAGAATCTCAAAATATGTCATCTTAATCAAACGCCTTTTTCTTTTTTCAAACCATTCATTTTCATACAAAACTTCTCTCTTCAAATTCTTCTCATCTGCTCATTATCTCGTGGAAAATTTTATATCAAAACGTTGGTGTAGATGAGACAAACCTTGTCTTGAAATTTGGGCTCAAGCGGGTCTGGGATGAGGGAGATATGACTGGTTGGGGCATGATTTCCTTCGGTCCTCACGCGCGGTGGTGGCGCGGGGAGGAGATCCTCTCTCAGACAACGCAGAGGGTCCGCGCGCGCCGCATGCTTATAGGTGCGCGTACGTGAGCTATCCTGAGTGCGGATAGGAACCAACCAAAAGAATTTTAATATTTCAATATTATGAGCATTAAAATACAGATATCTCTCATAAAAATAATATTGAATTGAAGTTTTCTAAGCATTTTAATTCTCAATAACAAATAATACTATAGATATAATATAAAATTATGATGGTAACAATATTTTTCTATTTAGTTATGATTTTATTTATTTAATAATTATTAATTGGGTAATATTTTGATCACTTTTTTAGTTGGAAAAAATTTATATTTTACTTGGGAAAAGTTTATATAAGATTGACACTTTAAAATGTAGAATTAAGGTGCACCTTTTAAATTCTTTCAAAAACATTCTTTTAATGTTGGAAAAACATCTAATTGATAATATTGATATTGAAATATATAGAAATGGAGAAAAAAATGAGATTTCAAGTCCTCAAAATCGTAAATCTTGCAACATATTTATTTGGACTGCTCATTTTCTAGATTTTCATGCGTTTATAGATTTGCTTGTTTTGAAACATTTTATGAGTTTAATAGATTCTCGCACCATCCTAATAATTTTCAACACCAAAATTGCATCTCATGATAAAGTTTGAGGGTGCACTTTAATTTGATTATTTAAGGTTGCAACTTTATGTAAGACACACCCTTCTTAATTAATTAATAATACTATGTTATTGAATTCAAATTAATATAACGAAAACTATTCATTGTACTTTCCTCCTCTTACCCTTCCAATCAACCTCTATATAGTGTTTCATTATTTATTTATTTATTTTATTTATCTTTTAGTTCTGCTCTTATTTAGAGTTTTTTTGTCTATTCTCATAAATTATTTTATTTATTTTCATATTGTACCCGTGTTCATATTCAATTCATTGTGCTTGCTCAATATGAAAATAAATAAAACAATTTATGAGAATAGAGAAAAGTTCTAAAAAATTCTAGAGCATAATTAAAAAATAAATAAACAAAATAAATAAAAAAACAATAATAAATAATAAAATACTACATAAAGGGCGACATGGAAAACGTACAATGAGATGGGGGAAGAGGAAAAGCTACCCGTATAACTCTCTCTATCTCTCTTAAACTTCTCTACTTTTTGTGTATGTTTATATTTATCCAAAATCTCTTATTGATCTATAAAATGAGGTGGGTGGAAAAAAAGTTTTTTTGGTGGAAAAAAAATTCTTATCAAATCATACATGTAAAAATTTTAATTTTTTTTTTCAAATTTTCCTTATAAATTTTGTTTTCATGCTGGAAACTCTCTTGTCACGCAACTAAGTTTCTTTAATAATAGGCAAGTTATAGTGAAAAAGGAAAACCGTCTCTATTCTTTTTATCCCTAAGGAAGGTTCTTCTTCTTCTTAACTTTGTCTTACCCTATATCATATACTTTCTTTTCTAAATTTTATGAAAATCCTACTCCATTCTTAATTTCGTGGGTCATGGTGATCCCTCTTTCTTATTGGCTAAACTCTTTTTATTGTCTTGGAAAACATGGGGCATCTTTTCCTATTGGATAATCTCAACGAGATAGAAATAAGTGAAGTAAAAAGATAAAACCACATCTCTTTCTTTCTAAAGAAAATAAGATTTTATTTGTTTATGAAATACAAAGATACCATAAATTGCTTGTCCTAAACCTTTTTTATCAGTACATTTGCCATACATTCTCTTTTAGGGTGGTGTCTCTATTTATTCTTGCGACATATGTCCACCCTTTAACAGCGGCCTAATAATGTAGTATAGATAATAGATAGATAATGCAACCTTTCTATGCTTTCCCTATAGCATAAAACTTGTACGCTTCCTTTTTATCAACCATATATTCTGAATGGACTGTTGAGATGACCCTAATCGCAATATCATGGCTCTACACTACTTATTTTTAGTTAAAACATTTTGACACCAAAATTTGGGCGCCCACTCCTCTCTTAATCTCGCACTTGTGAAAAATATGAAAAATGCATTTTCAATGAAATAAAATGTTCAAAAGATACTTTTAGTGGTACTTTGGTTATTATATTTTATTGATAAATTATTTTTAACAATTTTTTGGTGTGCCCCATTGAAAAGATGGCACGTACCAAATTTTCTATTCATACAATTTGTATTAAAAAACCAAAAATAAAAACTCTAAGGCGTTGGATTTAGATCAAATAGAGAGTGGCTCACTTGATTTAAATTAGACGGCTGGATGGACGAAAAAAGTAAATATTTTCTATGTTGTAGGAGAAGTCCCTACTAAGTTTCCTTGTTTCGTATGTATCCCACGTTAGATTGATTCATCTCAAAGTTTATAAAAAGAAGAATATTGTTTTACCGATGGGAACCTTTGGTTCTAACTGGAAAATAAGAGTCTGTCCACGAAAATCTCTCCTTTATTCTATGGACTGTTAACAAATTCTTAATGGTGTGGAAAACGAACCACCAGAATTTGCACCTGAGGCATCCTCCTAAACGACTAACCCGAGCCAATAAATTGGGAAAAAATACTACCCCAAGGAATTCCTGACTCAAAACAGGTTTTTTTTTGGGCTAAAAGATTTTCATATTCCTGCACAAGTGCATTATTAACCTATTTCCTCAGGCAAAACTTATATTAGAAATATCAACTAGATCCAAACTTTGAGGAACCCAACAACCAACTTTAGAGTGAAAAAAAAAAAAAAAAACTCACTTTCTGTGTGCCAAAAAAATGACATCTCGAGACTGTACTAGAACAATCCAATTTTTAAAGTAGATGCCCGGATGCTCAAGAACTCAAATTTTATTTTTTTTTTAAAAATAATTATCTAATTATAATTAGATAAATACCTAATTTCAATAAAAAGAAGATAACTTGTAAGTGTTAAAAGGTGACAGTGGACCTAATTAGACTCGGGAGCTGACAGGTATATCCGACCTCATATCCGAGTATATATCTAAATTTTAAACCTGAATACTATTCGAATCTAGATGTAAATCCGGGTGTGTATCGAGACCCGACCCGCTCCCAACCCTATTGTCAAGGGAATAAATATGCTCCCGAGGGAGCTTAAGCCTCACAATGCGCCTCAGACTTTCAGGGAAGTGAAGTGGAAACAGGACACTATGCACACCATACGCACGTGTTACACCCACGATTGCATACGTGTCTCATGCCAAGACTCGTGTCATCTCACTCCGTCGTTCTCTTTCCGCGAAGGCCACTCCCTTATATCGTCCAAAGTCCAAGCCCCCATCAAGGCATGGGATTTTAGAGAGAGAAAGAGGAGATAGAAACTGTTGAGCGAGAAAGAAGAGAGAGAGAGTAATATCAAGTTCCTCCATGGCCAGTCTTGTGACAAAGTGTGCAGTCATGAAAGTACCCAAATCATATCCCAACCCATTCCTCCCTCTGAGAGGCAGACCATCAATGGTGTCCTTAACATCTGTGTCTAGGTCCTCTCAGGTATAAATCCTCTCTCTCTCTAATGACCAAACCTCTCTTTTTCTCTCTAAAGTGTTAAGAATTCAGAACTGCTCGCCTACAATTTTTTTTGTTCAATGTAAATGCAGGGTCGTCATGCAGCACAGGAAGCAAGGGACACATCTTCCGACGTCTCAGAGAAAGAAAAAGAGTCGAAGAAAGCTGCCGATTCGGCATCGGACAAGGCGACAGAGATGGCTTCCGAGGTATCAGAGAAGGGAAAAGAGTCGATGAAGAGTGTTACCGATTCCGCATCAGAGATGTCACAGAAGGCAAAAAAGAAGGCTTCCGAAGTGTCGGAGAAGGGAAAAGAGTCGAGGAAGAGCGCTGCAAAGTCCGCATTGGACATGTCACAGAAGGCAAAAGAAATGGCAAGAGACGCCAAGGATTCAGCGGCGGACATGGCTCAGAGGGCAAAGGAGAAGTCAGGGAGTGCAGTTGAAAAGGTAAAAGAGGGTGCCATCAAGGCCAGCTACACGGCCAAAGGGTTTGGAGAGAAGGTGAAGGACACCGCAAAGGAGGGCGCGAGCAAGTCCAGCGACACGGCCAAATGGTTTGGAGAGAAGGTGAAGGACACCGCAGAGAGTGCGGTTGACACAGGGAAGGAGGGCGCGAGCAAGGTCAGCGACACGGCCAAATGGGTTGGAGAGATGGTGAAGGAGACGACACAAAAGATAAAGGAGACCGTTGTTGGGGCCAACGAGAGTGTGAAGGAGGAGAGAATCCATGAGAGCCCTGCAGATCGTAGAAGGAAAGAGAGAGAAGCAGCAGCTCGCCGGTCCATGAATAATAAGGATTATGAGTAATTCACCTGTAAGGTTCTAGACGCCGCTTTTTATTTTTGGATGTAAATTTTAGGCTGGAATTCCTGCAGTCGAGCCTGTAATTAGAACTTAGAATCGCCGCGCCCTTGAAATTGTGCATGGGTTTGTGTCTTCCTCTTTGCTTTGCAAGTATACTGTTTTTTTTTATTTTTTTTACTTTTTTATTTTGTTTATAAAGATTTTACCTTTTTAGTCTAATGAAAAATTTACCATATTCCTTAGATCTAAGCTAGATAACCTTTAAAGGCCCCCACATTTTGGGGTTTCCACGCACTACCGACCTTGAAATTTACATACTGACTGGGTTTTATCCTCTTGGTTTTTGTACTCTTATAACGGAAGAACCAGAAAATAGCCCGTTCATGAAAAAATGACAACAGAAGGCGATCCGAAGAAAATAGCCCGTTCATAAAAAAATAATGACAACAGAAGGCGATCCGATCCTGAAAATAGCTCGTTCATAAAAAAAAAAAAGACAACAGAAGGCGTTCTGATCCTGAAAATGGCCCGTTCATAAAAAAAAATGACAACAGAAGGCGGTCCGTCTGCGTAGCTTACAAAATTTAACGGAATGTGGTCCTTTTAAAGCATTGGACCTAGGTTTTGGACCCGGACCTGACTTGACCCATATTCGTCGGGTCAAGTCTATTCCGTCGGGTCTGGACCCGACTAGGTTTTTTTTTTTTTTAAGCTTAGTTTGAGCTCTTTTTATTAATTTATTTATTATTTTTTATTACCTACAATGGTCAATGGTGAATAACTGATTTTGAGGGACATTCGAGATCAAAAAGAGCCGTCTCCCATAAATTGAGTGGGAAAATGGTGGGGAGGAAGGATGACGATGGGTTTGGCCATTTGGGGAACTAAGAGAGAAGAGGAGTTTGGTCATTTGAGGAATTAGGAAAGACGAAATTGGATGACGATGGGAACCCACTTGAGGAACTAAGAAAGACGAAAAGTTTAAAATTTGGTCATTTGAGGAATTAGTAAGGACGAAATTGTGGGGAGGGAGGATGAAGATGGGTTTGGCCCAATCCTTTAAAAAAAGGATCGGTGATTTGGATCGGGCTCTTCAAAAACCGATTTAGATCGACGAATTGGCCATCCGGATCGAAAATAGGCTGAATGGGTGGGATTAAAGCTTCAAAAAAATTTAAAAAAATTATTAAAATTCATTATAAATATTGTTTTTTAGGAATCCAATAAAAAATAAGGTACGACATTATTAACTTTCATTTTTTTTTATCAATTTGTGAATATTGAGATGTTCTTTCCCTGTATAATTTTATTTTAACTATTAAATTTGTATCACATAAAAGAAAAATCATAGAATTATCATGGATAAAATATATAATTATATATGGACTATTATACAGAGTAGACTAATTAATGAAAGAATGGCCATTAAAATTTCGTTTTGGCGAAAAACCCTAACCCGCTAAAAAAACCCACATTATTACAGCCTAACTAACTATAATCCAAAATTATTACAACTTCACTAATCATAATATTATATACTGAAATTATAATTATTAGTTTATATTTTATAATTATTTTATTAGATAAATAATAACAAATTAAAAATATTTTATAATATTATTTAATTTAAAATATATTATTGACAACTGTAAGAAAAATAGTATATTACATGATTTATAATGTAAAAATTCATAAATAAAATAAAAGATTTGGTTATCAATGTAATAATTAATAAAATACGTACAAATTTTGAAAATAACACTTCAATTTTTCAAAAATTTATTTTTTTAGGTTTTTATAATAAATTTAGTAAAAGAGATTGTTAGTAGAAAGATGGAGATTTCAAATATAATAAATTTTTTATTTTTTATTTTTTTATACCTTTTATATTATTTACAAAAATAATTATACCACTATATATAATAAAAATTAACGGTTATATAAAAAATTAATTTTTTTATTTTTTATTTTTTTATGTCTTTTATATTATTTACAAAAATATTTATATTTATACCAATCACTATATATACAACAACAATGCAACACATGCCCAAGGGGATTCGAAAATAAAAAATATATTTATACCAACCACTATATACACAACAAAAATGCAACACATACCCAAGGGGATTCAAATGCAACACATGCCCAAGGGGGTGCCCAAGGGGATTCTACCTTGGGACTTCAAGTAAAAAATTCAAAATCACAACCATCAAGCCATCTAATTACATGTGATTATAAATTGCTGATTAATAGACTATATTTATATTTTGTTTTCATTTAATGATGTTTGGGAATTATTCCACATTGAAAGATCGGTATTCAAATTTGGTATATAAATACTTATGCAATATGAATTATAAAATGTGTATAAATATATTAGGGCAACTTTGCATGTGCGTTTGGACACACGTGCGCGGGTGTGAGCATGCGTTCGCGTGGACACACGTGTGCACGTGTGAGTGTGTGTGGGGCACGCTCGCACGTGCGCTCGGACACACGTGTGCGCGTGTGAGTGTGCATGGGACGTTTGCACGTGCGTGTCATGGTTCCACTCTAAAACCGGGCTGAACCGGATGGGAACCGACGATTCCACTATAGAACCGGGCTGAACCGGATGGGAACCGACGGTTCCACTTTAGAAACGGGTAGAACCGGATGGGAACTGGCGGTTCCACTTTAGAACCGGGCGGTTCCCGGTTTCGGTTGGAACCGGCACGGGCACGCATGTTTTCGAGTCGAACCGGGCGAGTCCGGTTCGACTGGCCGTTTTTTAAAACATTGGTTTGGCCATTTGAGGAGCTAAAAAAGATGAAAGTTTGGTCATTTGAGGAACTAGGAAAGACGAAAAGTAATGAAATGATAAAAGTTAGGGTTTTGGTTTTTTGGGTAAATTAAAAATTCGGGTCGGGTATGGCAGGATCCGTATTCAAACCTAAGACTATTTAGATATTTTTTATTGGACTCAGAATCTACTTGCAGGTTTAAAATTTGGATCTATACCTAGACTCGGGTATTTTTGACAGGTATGGGTCAGGTCCGGGTCCATTGTCATCCCTAATGGGATGGAGGCAAACTTGACTCAAGAAAACAAAAAAAAAGAAAAAAGAGGACCATTGACATCCCTATTTAGACATGAGGCAAAGTTGACAAAATAAATAAATAAATTCTTAATTGGATGGGAGGTAAATTTGAAAAAAAAAAAAAGAAAAAAAAAAAATGTCATGGATATCGGGGTAAATTTGGTAAAAAAATAAATAAATTCAGAGGTTCGTATGTAAGAATGAGTTATTTTTGAGCCATTTTGTTTTAACGGTATAAAATTTAATTTGTATGTAATTTTTTTTTTTAAAAAAAACTTATTTTAATTTATTTTAGATTTTAAATTTGATGGTTGAAAATAATTGTGACCTCACATCTGACGTTTGCATCGTGGGACATGAAATCAAACACTCGCATCGTTGGATATGAAATCGGATGGTTGGGATGTCTTGGACATGAAATCGGATGGCTGGGGAGGCGGCGTTGATTGGCCAATGTCCAAAATAATTTGTGGCCAAAATAAAATTTCTTGAAATCGGATAAAATTTCTAGAAATCACATGATTGGGGATGCGTTGTTGATTGGCCAATGTCAAAAATAATTTGTGGCTAAAATAAAATTTCTCAACTATTGCAAAGTCAACTATTGCAACGCACTTATCTTTTTGATTTTACATCAAATGGAGATAAATGAATGCGTCCTCGCATCAAAATGTATTTATACTAACCCTTTAAATGAATCATGGGTATAAGAAAATTGATTTAATGGTAAGGGAAGTCATAAAATTACGGAATTTATCTTTGTTAATTTCTTTTAGCACGGGAGTAGTGCACATTTACTCTTTCAGTCAGGAATCACTTAAGATCTACTAGGTGATTATGTTTTGAATAAAAAAAAATTTGAATTTAGAGTTTTCTAACACTTAGGTCTCGTTCTTAATTTGAGTTCAATCTTAAGATTATTTGGACTCAACCAGGGACCCAACGTCCAGGCCCGAACTTAAGACTCAACCAAGGACCCAATGTTCAGACTCGATCCAGGTTTTAAGAATTGGACACGGTGGGTTGCGCCTGGTTTCAAATATTGTATTCGAATATTATTTGTTAAAATTTAACAAAATTGTATATCTTTATTATCCCAAGAGGGTGGATATATTCACGAACTACACTATTATAGTGTATTTCTATTATCCCAAGAGGGTGGATATATACACGAACTACACTATTATAGTTCCTTAGTTTTGGGATACATTATCATAGTCCTTTGATTTGGAGATTGTACAACAAGTACTATTAACATAATAGTTATACATATCTTACAACAAAAAGAGCTTTTAGAAAGATAAGCACGAGTTGGGAAGCCAGCTAACACTTCCCCTCAAGTTGGAGTGTGAATGCGAAAACACCCTTGTTGATCAATGATACAAACTGTTTTCTGCCAAAGGTTTTGGTAAAAATGTCAATAAGTTGATGGGTGGTTAGAACATAGGATGTTCATAGTATGTCGGATTGAATTTTGTTTTTGATGAAATAACAATCTATTTCAATGTGCTTTGTGCATTTATGAAATATGGGGTCCACGACAATGTAAAAAGCAATTTGGTTATCATAAATTAGGATGATTGGTTTAAGATGATGGACACCTAAGTCATGAAGAAGAAAACGGAGCCATGTGAATTCAAAACTTGCAGATTCCATGTCACGGTATTCTGCCTTAGCAGAAGAGCGAGAGACCGTGTTGTTTCATCATCTTCCAAGATAACGGAGAATTGCCTAACATGACAAGATATCCAGTAGTGGAGCGACGGGTATTTGGACAGCTTGCCCAATCAGAGTCACAGGAAACACGTAGCTGGAAGGCACTATCAGAAGACATGAGTAAGTCTTGACCTGGATAGAGCTTCAGATAGCGAACTAGGCGCAGAGCTGCAGCAAGATGTGGCTTGCAAGGTTGAATCATATACTGGCTAAGGTTGTCGATGGGAAAGATAATATTGGGTCTGGTGATGGTCAAGTATATGAGTTTACCAATGAGTCTTCGATACACAGTAGGATCA